GATCGGGAGGGTGCGATGCGCTCGGTTGGTGTAGAGAAGCGACGGCGCGGATTCTCGTATTTAGTCGATTTCCAGCTTGGGACCTTGGGACCTTGGGTGTGGTAGCAGAGATAAGAGCCCAGTTGGGCGGGTTGGGATGACGCAATGACAGTTACTCGGTCGGTCAATTCGTCCAAGTGCACAAGAATGGACCAGCGTCGACAGATATGTTCAGAAAGCTATGGGATGTATGTGCAGGGCAGAAGATTTTTGGTCGGTTCCTGAAAAGATGAAGACGAGGAAATGGCAGACAACGGCAGACGGCGGTTGAAGAATTACGGAGGTACTTGGGCAACGATGAGTTGTCTGGGCAAAGACGGACCAAAGTCTAAATACATGGAGATTGGGAAGACACTGGCCAGAACCGGGGCACTTGCCTTGATAAAAAAGGGCGACAGGGATACGATGAGATGGAGAGGCTTGAGAGGGGAGGGGAGTGCCAGAATGGTGGTGGAGGGAGAGATGGGGGAGCACTGGGAAGATGGGGGGCGCGCGAGGCAGTGAAGGGTCTGGTTGCATGGATCTTTCAGGCCGGGTCCTTGTTCACGGTCCGGGGTGGCTTGCGATAGGTGCGATACGGCATCGGCGTTTGGGCGTGTGGGAAGTCGACTGGACCTCAGTGGTCTAGAGGTTGCGGCCCACGAGGGCAGGTAGGTCTGATATCTAGGCCGGTAGCGATACCTGCCTTGGCTTGGGAGCAGAAATCAGGAACAGGAACATAAACAAGGACGGGAACGGGTACAATCCACGCGAGGAAGGTGAGGTAGGTATGTAGCCAAGTACATGTGTAGGTATTCTACACAGTCGCTGAAGGCAGGAGGGAGGCGCTGTGCAGCGTATCGGGTCAATTGCATGCTTTTCTCGCCAGTCCAGGCCAATCTTGACTGCACTCGGCCTCATTCTCACATCCGAGTGGATGGATTGCACATGGGTGGGAAGGTGTATGGACCCTTTCTACGTATGGTTGGATGCGTTGATGAATGTGTTGCCCAGGATTCTGGGTTGGGAAGGAACATACCTCACAGATAATGGCTGCCTCCCTCCTACTGGTAGATGCCATTGTGAACGTATCTAAGGTAGGCACGGAATGGAAAGGTTTTTTGCGCAACAGCAAGACTCGACATTGAGGTACTGTGTACGGATAATTCGTCTTCAATTGTCTCGCTGCTCTTTCTCCTTTCCCACTTTCCATCTTCTTGTGCACCGACACCGGGCTACGGCTGGCTGCATGCCGGCAGAGAGAACATGCACCTGGGCCTAGGCTCGCTCAGAGATGCGATGCCTTGGACGCTGCCAGGTCACGTCTTGGCTAGCAGCAGCAGAATCGCAGCCCCTCGTCTCTATGACGCCGCTGGGTGCCACGCGAGGGAACAATCTGCAGTGAGAGCATCCGTACATAGTACCTCTGCCAAGCACCCATGGGGCGTTAGACTCCTTACATAAGCTAGCAAAACCATGGTGATAATGACGGGCCTCAAATGTAGTTGTGGGCATCGTGACTCCTTGCTCCCCAGGTCTCCGCTCGCAAGGCCATCGTTAGCACATTGGCAGAGTCATCGGCTGCGGGAGGGAGGGGACTCGGAGCAATTGGATGAGCTGCCATCGTTGCTTCCTTCAGGGTCCCCTCCTTTAGGTTTGCGTGTACGGATACTGTGTGACGACGATTGAGCAACGACGATTGATGGATGCTAACGTGACTCTGCATGGCCAAGTCCGACAACGGCCAGAATGATGTGGATTGCGCCTGTATTGGCAAATATGGTGAGAGGTTCGATTTGGCACGGAGTATGGCGGTGTATGTAAGGTATTATTACCCTTGAGGTTGCTTTTGCAATTGCGACAATGGCATCGACCATGACGAGCCGCGACTCGAGGTTTGAGCGGGCTTGAGGTTAAGACGGACCAAGAGGAGGTGACTTCAGATGTCTGCCAAGTCTTGTCTCCCTCCTTCCCTCCACCCAATGATGCTCCTGCAGCACTAAATGCTGTTTCGCTGCCGTTTCTGTATGAGGTGCAGCTGGAGGGCAGGCATGCCGCATCTCAGACCCACCTTTCTCATTCTCTCCTTCCTCCACTGTGCGCTGTGCTCCTTTCCTTCCCCCTCCTTGTCGAGTCGCAAGAAGTTGAAGTTCAGGTTGTCAGGGGAGGTACGGATACCCCTGGTCCTGCCGCACTGCGGTCCTGCCTAGGTGGACTTCCTGCCCTTGTTCCCGAATCCCCGTTACTGCAACTGCACCTGCACCTGCGATACGGGGTGGGAAGCCTCTCCCACTCAACTTAGGCAATTCCTGCTTGTCTCGGCCATTCCTGCCTTCTACGGTCTTCTCTCCAACTCGACGCACTTTTGAACCGAAGTGGTTGTGGGTCAACCTCAATTGTCTCCATCTCCAACACCCTCTCGCTTTTTGGCCGTATCCATACGACTACATCCTACCAAAACTTCAACAAAATAACGCCGCGATATCGCATTAGCGCCAACTCATTCAGATTTTTCGTCAAGGTCCCAACCTTTGACTCTACTATTCCATGTCGACCAAAACCTTGAAGTGGACGGCCGGTGGAAACCCAAAAAGAAATCTCTGTCTCTTTGCATCTGATTTTGTTCTAGCGCAACCAGGGATTGCCTCGACTACACTATGACTACTCTCGGATCGTGATAGTCTGCGTTGTCTGCCCTCTTCGGCCCAATCAGCCCTGCCTAATTGTACCCGGCAAAATGCAGCACCAGAGCCGGCGGCGCCACGTCCCGCCCGTACTCGGAACGCTGTCGGAGCCCGCTATTCTCTTAAGCCTTTGGAACCCGGCCGTGTCTGACAAAAGACATTACCAGAAAGTCAGAGTCTTGACTGTGACCGACCGCTTCGGACAAAAAGACGGTCGTTTGCAACTTGCAACTTCTCGTCCATTAACCAAACAATTGAGTTCTTCCCGCTCAGCGCGCGTCCGGGCTCCTCGGTGCTTTCGCAATTGCAACTGCGACTTTGCACATTCGCTTGCATGCAGCGCACACGGCAACGCAGCATTGCGACATGACTGAGTTTGTGCCTTACTTGTAAAAAGCACTCTGTTCAATGATTGGTTTTATCCGCTGCTATCATCCACGCCGCAGGGGAGTATCGTTGCTCGGCACAGATAACATGCCAGTCGGGGTTCCCCTCCAATTCCCCCCTCATCCGTAAGCGGACGAACCTAACTTAGATGATGAGCACATGCTCACTTGCTTCATTTGACAGCTGGCCGTCTCACTATCGCGACAAGATAGACTTCGTGTCACCGCTCTGCACTTTTGCTCCTCTTTACTGGCTCGGTCTCGGCTAGGCCTCCATGCCAGTGACCACTGACTACGCAACACGCCTTCCTTGCTAAGCCGTACCAACGAGCGCAAATTGAGATGGGCCTAAGATCAGACGTACGGCCAGTCTTGCGCTTTCAACAGATATTCTTCTACGGAGCACTGCCGTGGGCTCTATAAGCTTCTCAAAGCCATTCTACTGCGTAGAGACTCTTGTCCGCGCCAATGGCACGTTCCCAAACCACAATACCGTATGAAGCCACAACGTTCGGAAGGACTCAGGGGCTCATTTGCGAGTCTTGAAATGGTGGGCCTCCTGTATTACCTACCTTCAGAGGCAGCCCAAATCTGTCGGTCTGTGCCACAACACCACACGCCGTGATGCCGGGTTATTCTGGATGTCTCACGCGCGCCACATCATAAAATTTCATCGCCTGCCGCCAGTTTCAGCACCCATTGGCGACTCCGTGCCACACCTTTCTCTCCATTGGTTGCCGCCCTCTTCTTCGGGCCGTCCGCCACTTTACAAAAGCCGGGTACGAATAAACTAAGAGAGAAAGAGGCTCTTGTGACGGGCCTCACTTTGGTCCAATCAATGTGCGCCATCAACTACAAGGCCTAAGCCTGTTAGTTGCTGATCTACTTGAGTCTCCGTGCTGAGTAAGATTCCACCAATGTTTTCCCATGTTATTACCAGACAGATCTGAACCACCAACGAAGACTCAGGAATCATATCTCAACTCATTTCAATTGTCCGTCAGCAACAGTCCCGCCCCCTCTCCACCGAAAACGCACTGCGATGGAGCAGGAAGCAGCCAGACGCAATGCCGCCTTGACCATCTTGCTCTTCCGTCCAGGGTCCGTTCCGCGGCTCATGGCCCGCCGCGAGCCGCCTTTGAACTCTCCACCCAAGAAGTCGGAGTGGATCGACAAATGCCTGCTCTCGGATATCCCACGTGCTCGACTGATGAGATCTATTGGTCTCATCGACCATTGACCCCTCGCATTCCCCAACGCAAAGGTCCCGTCAGTGTGCATCACTTTGCATGGCGGATTGGATTTTGACGTTTTGTCAAAATCGTCACGGCCTGTTGCCGATAGGCTAGTTCTTATTCCTGCTGTAATGTAGAGACAAGCAAGCTGCCAAGCTGCAACTCGATGTAATCCCTCTCAGCGCTCGGAACAGCCGTTGACCTCATGCAATCAAACGTTCAAGTGGCAGACAAGGGTAGAGATACTTCAGGACAGTCTCTGTATGTCTCTACACATATGTTATGTTTTGGGTCATGCATTGTACTGCGTACAGTGAATCCGCCCAACTCTTCCACGGACCCGGTGAAGGATTCGAATGCGGATTGGAGCGGCAACAGAACAGCATGTCTCGCCATTTGCCCCTCATGAGTGCCTCCAAATGGGCAATTCTCAAGGATTTAGCAAACTGCCTCATCATCGACTGCAAGAGGCTGGCTAGACCGTGCCCGCCACGAAATCCCAGCCATGCAACGTTGTGAGAAAAGCTAGGGTATCCGTGAGGCCTACAGCACCAATATCAAGATGGGGTGGATTCGATCCAGACCAACAGCCCCCAAACTACGACTATGTGGGCTTTGGGTCGTGCAAAAAGGATTTTCTATGTGGAGCTGAGAACGGTCCCGGCCATATGAGAAGTTCCATGTGCGCGAAATCATAAGCCATGCAACGGATAGCATCGCAGCTTTCACTACAGGCACGCGGAGTTCCAGCAGGTATGCAAGTGCGGTTGAAGGGGTCGCCGGCCACCGAGTCCCACTACTCCCGGGGCAATTCGAAGGCAGTCACGCGAGTCTATGCCGCATCCGTCACCGAAGGCCATCTGCAGAAAAGCTATCCTCCGAGACGGCAGGCATCCTACTCCAATAATGCGAGTTCGGAGGGGCAGCGGCCGCTTCAAATGGCATGTGCTCGCGTGCCTGGCCATCGTCGTTGGTGGCAGAGCAAGTGGAATTGACCCATCTGCCGTCTGCAGACTGCACAAAAGTTTTCCAGGGGGAGAACGTTTTCAGGGCGCATTCTCGCTTGCAAAGCTTCAGAACTTCCGGAGCGGGTCGATGGATGACTGGATGTTGGACGTTGATACCTTCCGACGATGCCCCGCCAAGCCGCATGTCTTGATGTTACATATGCGTCTTGTTTCCGAAGCCCCGCTCAACCCATACGAAATCTGTACGAAAAAGACGAAGTTTTCTGCTATGTCCCAGGCTATGGGGTCGACACAGAAGTCGGGGGAACGGGGCACTGGGGCAGAATCTGTGACGCTTTTACTAGGTCCCCGAGTGTGTGCGTGTGAATCACCAGCGATTTACCATCTCATCGTACGTTTTGCTTGTTAATCTCTCGAGATACCATGTCTAGATCGGCGAGTTGTACTCTGCTTCTGGAAAGGACAGTCAAAAAATGGCTCGCGCCGGACTCATCACTCTCCACTGCCTTTATCGAACCTCTTCCAGACATCGTTTCCACCAAGCTAGAGAAGTCGTCAAATGTTAGGATACGCCCACATATGGCGTTCTCGTCTGCCTTCGCACCTTTCAATCGAAGGCAAATCCAATAGATACTAGCCGACCAAATGGCAATGTACCGACTTTACTCAGCAGTCCGAAGTCGATGGGATACGTCCTTTTGAGGGACTTGATACCGTAGCTGTACAGACTATCGGGGCTAATGTCGAAATTCCTGCAGACGTGGAATAGTAATGCTTACGTTCACCATGAAGGATTTGTCGGAATTGTGTCAGTGAGCTGAGCTCATTACTCTGGTAAAGAAAGTGACTAAGACCGAGCCTTCCAAATCTAGCTCCAGTGTCCAGCTCATGCTCCCCGACCTCGGCCCACACACGGCTCCTTAAAGACAGGGCCGCTGGTCTATTCTGATCCTGCATCCCTTTAGACTTAGATATCTAGGCAATCAAATCGTACTCGTCTAAACTTTTATCAGCATCTTCTGGCATCGTATCAACTATTAGATAGCAGCAATACGTACCTTATACACGGACTCTCCCAAGGGGTAATAACAAACTATAGATTAGTCCGACCCAGTTTCCCTCATATCAGTCTTTGAATAATTTCGAGATAAAGTAGGATTAGAGAAGGACCGAGGACGTTGATACTAACGCCCTCTAGCAGTCAATGGAAAAGCCTTTGGCAAGGTTGCTGGTTGCCATGTTCGCTCGTTCGATGGAACAACCCTTCACACTAGGCCCTAAATGCATAGTGTCTAAATGTGCAACAGCATATTCCCGCGTAGGATCGAGCCCACGTCCGTTGAACCAACAAGGTTCAGTTCCTCAGGGCCAAGTAAAGAGGCCTCTATCTCCGCTTCGATTATTGCCCCAATCCCACTTACTTTGAGAACTTTTGCAGCCCTGCGATGAACCATGAAGAAGTCCGGCTCGGGGAGCGGAATGTCGTCCTCTCAGGAAACCAAGCTCATGACATCTTGGTTGTCCCGTCCCGCAAGGGGATAAGGGACCCCCATGACATGTTAGCGATCTCGTACTTGTTGGGCTAGCCATTTCTATTAGCAAAAGACCAAATCTATCAAGTAGTGAAGCGTGCTCGCAAAAATGGCTTTACCTGGCCAGGAAGAGGTTTGAAAGCCAGCCAGTGGCTATTGTAAGCTTTGTGAGCGGTGAGCTCAAAGGTGATGAGATTCTAGTATTGGTCCAGGCTGTTTGGACTAATCTTGTCGTCCAGCTCGTGGAAGTACCGGTACAAAGCATACCAAATGTTGTCCACCGCCTCTCTCCCAGCTGGGCTGGCGAGCTGTCCAAGCGCAAACGGCAAAGTATAGCAGAGGTAGGTGAAACTGATAGTCATGCCAGGAGCCGGCACAACAAGGTGTACTTCGACACTCGTGAAGTCACTAAAGTGGCTGCACGCACATCGGAAACCGCCGCGTTTTAGACATTCTTCCTACAGGTTTTGTTGTCAATCCCTATCTGTTGTAGACTGGGGCTGGCGGATCTGGCGATACTTGCAAGCTTCACTTGACCAGGTGTATACCCATTAGTATACAATCCAGATCTCGGACGTCGAAAATAGAAATAAGAATGACTAACTTGGTTTGAGTATGGTATTAATTAGATACCGTGAGAAAGGCCTTAGATTTGAAAGATCTTTACCGATTGTCTTGATGTCGGTCATCAGTGCCACCGCGCCAGGCTTCGAGAGCATTTGCCGAAAGGATGAGAGTATTGTGCATGTTTTTTTTCCGGTGATGATGCGAGTTGGGTATAATAGAATTCGATGATCTTGTCGGTGAGTTCCCAGAGGGTAGAGCAGCCATATGGATCTGTCAGGGTGGATGATACTTCATCTTGGCTGTCGTCTAATTGCTGCTGGCTTAGAGGAAGAGCAACGACGATGTTTAAGATGATTGACCACTTCGGGGCAGTTTCGGCTTCCATGTTTGCTTTTGGAGATGTGGTGGATCGGAGACTCGCGCTGTCTGTATCATTTAAGCTGGACCGGGCAAAGTTGAGATGCTGACCCTTTGGGGCCTTGGAGGTAAGGCGCACGTGTGTTGATTTAACCCGGACGTTGATTCCATCCTGGGTCTCATTGTCTAATTTTTTGTTTTAGTTTTTTTCGCCAATCGCATTGACACGGAACCAGACATAAGACGGTGAGTTGACTTCCGAATAAATGGAAAGACTTATCACCAACGAGATGAAGGTCAGGCTGTTTGCGCTCTTTGGGACACAGAACCAGAGACTGGCGCAGTGTCGAGAAGTGAGAAAATGGCGGTCAATGAACGGCCGGACGAACAATTGTCTCTCTCTAGTCATTATACCGTTTGCTTGATGGAAACTTCACGTTTGACTTTAGGGACATGCTAGATCAGGAGAGATGAATGCCACCAGGTATTATTCGCTAGGTGAGGGACTCGCGACCGATTATCTTGCGTTGCAATCCTCAAAACACCAGTGATGCTGATTTCGTCTTCTTGAGTCAAGAAATAACCGCCTCAGTGAAGTTCAAGAAGTAGGCATACCTCCCTCTGTTTGCAGAGGGACGCACACGCAAGACCGCTTCGCTTGTCGGATTATCAATACAGAGTGTCTTGCCCACGCGCTACAAAAGTAAACAGTCAAACTTTGCACCCGCTTCCCGCTCTGTCACTATTGACCGAGATGGCAAACCCGTGATGGATCCATCCCACCGGTTTGCTTTCACATCCTTATGCGAGATGTATTGTTCGAACCCAGGATTGCAAGCAATTCGACCGACTTTCGTCCGATCGCCGACTGTTTTGTAAGCTACTTAGGAGACTCGGACTTGAGGTTCGTCCGTGACGCTACAAACTTGGAAAAGCAGATGTTTTGATATTGGGACTCGCCCAGGTTGCTTCAAAATTGAACTTGAGGGAGACGATGTATATGAGCCCACTAGGTCACGACTAAAGACCGTCTTTCTTCATATGTGATATCATACAACATTCCGAGGAAAAAAAAAGTGGAACGATTCTAGCCAGCATGGCACAAAACCCCTCGAATCTCGATCATCCCCAGCACATTGCCATTGTTGGTGTAAGAATACTACCCACCTACACCTTAGGTTATCACAGTTACTCTGATTGCAGAATAGCCAGGTGGAGAAATTGGCTCGCACATCACTAGGGAGCTCTTGGGAACCAAGAAACACCAAATTACTGCCTTGACTCGGGCGGAAAGCACCAGCACCTTTCCTGATGGGGTGCTTGTGAAGAGAGTCGATTATGAAGGCCGATCCTCTATCGTTGATGCCCTTTGCGGAAAGGATGTCCTGATAATCACTCTCGCCGGCAATGCCCCTCCGGGTCAGGAAGCCAAACTCATCGAAGCCGCAGCGGAGGCCAACGTCGCCTGGGTCATTCCCAATGAATGGGGCTCGACTCCGACGATAAATCTCTGGCTGAGCATTCAATTCTCGGCGAAATGAAGCAAAAGACTCGCCGATACATTGAGAGTCTCGGCAGGAGTTCTTGGATTTCACTCGTCTGCGGCTTTTGGTATGAGTTCAGCTTGTCCGCCGGCGCAGAGCGCTTTGGCTTTGATTTTCCGAATCGTACAGTCACATTTTATGATGACGGCTCAACAAAGATCAATACCAGCACTTTAGAACAGTGCGGTCGAGCTATTGCACAAGTACTCAGCTTGAATGTACACACGGCAGGGAACGAGAAAGACGGCCCAACTCTTTCGCAATTCAGGAACCGGCCCGTCTATGTCTCATTCTTTCTGGTGAGCCAAAAAGACATGTTTGAGTCTGTTCTTCGTGTCACTGGTGCTACTGAGGGAGACTGGAAGATCAAGCATCAGGACGTCATGCAGTGCTACGCCGAAGGGAAGGCAGAGATGCAAAAGGGAGACATGACTGGTTTAGTTAAGCTGCTCTACGCAAGAGACTTATTCGTCAATGGTGGTGGCAACTATCAAGCATCGAGGGGCCTACACAATGGCACCTTGAGCCTACCGAGAGAAGAGTTGGATTATCAGACGAGGACTGCCATAAAGAACATGTAAGCTTCCTCAGGCTGTTACATAATGTAGTTCATTATCAGGACATGAACAAATTATGGAGTCAATCAAAAAGTGCCTAAGTCTTGATTCACGGAATTATTGATGGAATGATTCCATCTCACTTGTTCATGGCCGCCTACTGCAGCAGCACCTGGGTGACGTCAGACGCACTCCGAGTGTTTTGAAGCCGCGCTTTTGGAAATCGGCGATCAAATCCGCCAATACGCACTCCACACTACAAGATTCTATGCATACGTCTTTTATTTTGCTACCTTGAGTTTCATGTTTTACCTGCAACATATCGATATAATGATTCATTTTCATTACTTTCAGAGCCTCACGGTTAAAACCAACCATCTTATATTAGGGATATTAATATCGCGCTTAATAAGAGCCTATAATTTGCTCGTATAAAGTTGAAGTACAGATAGGGGTAAAGTTTAGGGTTGTAGGTGTACAGTATTAATAATTAGCTTTAGTGAGAACGATCAGTCTTTCGCTCGAGATGTCAAGATATTTTCGGATAGCATTGCCTCTCAGTTATCTCAGTTATCTAGTTGATAATAGGCTAATGACCGAGATAACCCGACGTCACTTGCCGTACTATAGTCCTAGAAAGCGACCTTTCTTCTATGTCTAAAAGGAGGAAGTCCGATATCGGTAAAACTGGTGAAGTGTAGAGTGAAGTGCCATGAATTATCCGAATTACTTCATAGAAAATATGGAAGAGGTTGAGATATTTCGTGATTTTGGCCATATCCGCAGGTACCTCATTTGAGCGAAGTTCTCATGCACTGCGGCTGATGCCAAATCATTACTTGGCGAAAGACCTCGGACCTGGGAGCTCAATGGCAGTTTTAAATATTCAACGAGTCCGGGTCATGTGCAGTTTCCAACTTTTGAGTGAAAGCACGAAGGATTCTTGAGTTTCAACGAGTGTTATTCCGAGGTGTGAACGAAGGATACTTTTAATGGAGAAACCCAAGAAACCGATCATGGACTATTGGAAAAAGGCCAGTTTCCCCATAGAGTTCTCTAGAGCCGCCAGACGGAGTCTCCGCCGCTCTCAAGGAGTCTTTGGGCGTGGCTGGCACTCGTTGCCAAGACTTCTCAACGCTGGAAAGGACCGATGCCAAGTGTTGATATGGGGTGCGGTGGTGAGCGCCAAGGCCACCATACGAAGACCTAAAGGGACGTGATAGGCACGTCTTGCGCCAAAATGGAGTTTGCGATATTTTATCAGATCAGAGAGCCTGTAAGATGGATTAGATAAGATGCAAAGCTAGCAAAAAATGGAAGCGGCTTTTGCAGGATGCTCGGCCTTCTCTCCGAGAACATACTAGGAGGTTTGGAGGTGTATGGGAAGCAAAGTTGATATATAGTTTCTTTTAGCGAGCCTTGTTTGCGGTTGTTTGCGGTTGTTTGCGAACCATATGACTATTCTGCAGATCCAGAGACTTTGTCTGGCGAACACACCGCACCATCATCAAGATGCAAGACGCCCCAAACCCACCAGCCCCCGTCCGGGACGAAGAAAAGACACAACCAGACATCGCCATCCGAACCCTCGGCATCTCGCCAGCCGACCTGCCACCCATTGACACCGAAGACGAGACTCTCCAACGGATCCCCTGGTCCTACAAATGGATCGCTCTTCTCTGCGTGGTTTCCCTCCCCATTGGTCACACGTGGACGGGTTCCGCCCTGGGCCCGCTCAAGAACACGCTGCGTAACGAGCTCGGCGTCAACAATGCCCAGTTTGGCGTCATTAGCAGCGCTGATGCCTTTGTCAACACCGTGTTCCCCATCGTGGGTGGGCTGATGCTTGACTGGTGGGGACCGAACCTCGTCACGCTGTGCTGCACCGCCGTGATCCTCGTCGGGTCCGTGGTTGCGGCGGCCGGGGTGCAGGTTGGGCTTTGAAGGGTTCTTGTTAGTGGGCATGTGCTCATGGGGTTCGGAATTGCGGTGCTTGATTCTGCTACGCAAAAGGTGAGTTTATTCCAGCAGCTGTCTCTGCGTATGAATGACTAGGCTCTCGGGTATCTTGGCTGACGGAGATTCCAGTTCTTCTACCACTGGTTCGGCGCATCAGGTCTCGCCTTCGCTTTCGGCCTCGAGTCCGCCATCGCCAACACGGTCAGTCTCGTCTCAGGCATGGTCGCCATCCCCATCCGCGACGGAACGGGCTGGTACGGCTGGACGTTCTGGATCCCCGTCTTCTTCTGCGGCTTCTCCCTAGTAGTCAACATCGCCTACGTAACCTTTGAACGCCTCGCCGTCCCGCCGCGATTCCAATTGACATCGGGCCGCGCCCGCGCCATCGCCGAGCAGCAGAACCTCTCAGAACGCCGCCGCTTCTCTTGGAACGTTTTGTTCGCCTTGCCGTGGGCCTACCTCATGCTTCCCGCGACGCAGCTGCTCCAGAGTGGCGCCGCGGGCGGCTTCAGCACCAGCTCGGCTGACATCATCTTCTTGAAGGGGTACACGGAGGAGGTGGCGGGGTACTTGTCGACTGCGTAGAAGATTCTGCCCATTGTGTTGAGCCCGTTTGTCGGTCTTGCTATCGACAAGTACGGACATCGGTTCCACTACGTTGCGACGGCGCCGGTGTTGTGGATTATTGCTTGCGCCATGTTGGGGTTCACCGACGTCCATCCGCTTGCGGCGCTTGTGTTTTCTAGCTTGGCGGGCGTGATCAATTCGATGCCGTTGCAGATTTGTATTCCGCTGCTGGTGGCGGACCAGGCGAAGATTGGGACCGCATTTGGGGTGTGGAGGGCTTTTAACAATTCTGGATCGACGATTGTAAGTCACACCCCTTTGTGTCTGCCGTGATATTCCATTGCTCTCTTGCTCTCAAGATATTTGCAACACGTACTGACGTTCACTTTTTAGATGGACGTCGTCTTTGGCGCGCTACAAGATGACACGGAGGGGAACGGCTACTCAAAGGTCTTGACCGTCGCGATTGCCATCAAGGCTTGGGCATTTGTGCTGGGTCTGTCGTATATTGTCGTCGATTATCAGTTCTTGGGCAGGGGCATGACCTTGACCAGGAAGCAGAGACAGGCGAGGGAGGCCTTGATCGTGGACAGGCAGGCGGATCCGCTGACGAGACGGACGTCGAAGAAGTGGTTTACTACTTTGACGTTTGGGTTGTTGATCGCAATCATTGTGAGTGCTTGGGCTGTATTTGTGAGATACTTGATTTGAAAGACCAGGGCATAGTTTGTCTGCCGATCACGAGCAGAGTGACATCAAAGGTCGGGAGCCCTACAGTACACTTGTAAAGTTGCCGGAACCTGTAGTATCGATCTGCAGAATGGATGTACGATGGCCCACCCTCGGCTATCCAGACTATGGTATCTGGTGTGTGACGACGTTTGCTACTCGAGAGATTTCGACAATGTTATGCATCTTCTGCTAACTCTCGTTTGATGTCGATGCACTGTTCCCCGTTTGCATGCGTTGTGTCTTCTCATCATGCTGAGCTTGGGAGTCCAAAGAAACGGATACTATGATCAGCGTTTTGTCGAGAAGGGTACGGGCTCAATACGACGTGCTAGATGTTGCACCAATAGGATGTGTAACCTGAACAGCCCAGTGGATTTCAAGAACGCCAAGCAGTTTTGTTTCACGTAGACGACGCCCTCGGATATTGACTCTGGCCACTGCGCCCTTCTGAGTTTTGTTCAAATTCAGGAGAGACACAATGGACACACACATGGTGAAGTGAGGAAAAGCAACTGTATGTGTAGGCCGCTGTTGTGTAACGGTTGAGCAATAACAGATGCTCCGAAGGACATCTGCTAATAGTAGTAGTCAGCAGTGAATGATACTTTCCGGAGTAACGCGGGGGAGTTGTAAAGAGCTAATCGACCGCTGACTTCAGAGCCGAATTCGGCAATGTGAGCCACAATCAAGACGGAAGCTACAATCACTTCGTTCGCCGCATAGATAGGCTGGTCGTTGACCTCGCTTTCGCTTTCACTACGACAGAACGAACTACCTCCTCCTGTGGCTTCCCAGGTCAACCGCTCTCGACAGACTATCCATACACGTACGGAGTACTCTGTAATATGGAGTGTATCCGTAGGCCTTGTCCGTATTGATCCGTACGCTTACCAACTCCAGCTGCCCACCAAGTGCAGGAACCGATAAAGTTGGCCCACGATCTGCTCTCCTAATTGGAAACACTCTCCGCCATTTCGCAGGACCAAGACCTTGGAATCGCCCTCTAAACGGGAAACAGGGCTCCACTGTACTAAGTATATGCTTGGATGGCACCCCCTGCCTGCCATGCTTGGGGTTGAGCTTTTTCGAATTGGGGGAGGTGGAGGCGCTGTCAGACGATCTTCTGTCCACTCAGAATCAAACAACCTGACTCCAGACCACCAGTGACCCGCGGACCGGCGCCTACGGGCGAGTCGGGGCTCGCAGTCTCGGAAAAATGAGCAAACACGGCACAGCTCTAAGCTCTTTGCGGCTTGCACCCCCTGAAACTCGGCCATCGACACGCCCACAAACAGGAGTGTAATTTCCGTGCGGCGGATCCCAAGGACTCTTACATCCCGCACGTCAACGGCCACCTCTGAATTTCTGTTGCAAGTATACATATTATCGATTTCTAGACTCTTGGCGCCATCTCGTAAAGAGCCCCCGGAGTCGCGCGGGTGGATTTCGCTAGAGCCGGATTGAGCTTATTGAAACATCATGGGCGCTGAATGCCAAGAGACATGAACGAGGACGAGGTAACACAATGGGCGAATTGAGGCAAGGCTTCTGCCAAGGATCGCCTCCTTCAGGAGGCGATCTCTATTGTCGCTTCGGATGGCTCCGTCAAGCGTAGAGTAGAAAATGTTAGGTGCACCCAGTTGAGTGTGTTGATGGTTCTGGTCTCTTCTGAGTTGTTGTTGCTGCACTTCTTGATCTTCGTTTCGAAGCCTTCCGTTCTTTGCCCCCATTTACACTCATTTCGGTCCTCAGGACTCTTTTCATTCTTTTCTTCTATACCGATTTCCCCTCCCTCAGAGCAACAATGCTTGCCTCTTCCCTTCTTTTGCTGTCGTCCCTGGTGGCCGGCGCATTCGGCGCGGCCCGGACTTCCCCGCCTTCCGGCGCTCTGGTCGTCGCAAAGTCCGGGGGCAAGTACACCTCCATCCAAAAGGCCGTCGACGCCGCCAGCAGCGGCGCCGTCATCTTCATCCAGCCGGGCACCTACAACGAGCAGGTCCTGATCCCGGCCAACAAGGGCGCCCTCACCATCTACGGCTACACCGCCGACGACCAGGACTACGCCAAGAACCAGGTCACCGTCACCAACAGCCTCGGCGCCGACGTGGCCGGCAGCAACGACGCCTCCGGCACGTTCCGCGCCAAGAACGACAACCTGAAAGTCTACAACATCAACATTGTCAACTCGCGCGGCAAGGGCGTCCAGGCCATCGCCCTGAGCGCCTACGGTAACCAGCAGGGGTACTACGGCATCCAGGCTAAGGGCTACCAGGACACCATCCTCTCTAACCAGGGCAAGCACTACTTCCACAAGTCGTACGTCGAAGGCGCCACCAACTTCATCTTTGGCCAAAAAGCCGTCGCATGGTTCGAGGCATGCACCATCGCCATCAGCGGAAAGGGCTACATCACCGCCTCGGGCCGCGATGCCGCGAGCAACCCGTCCTGGTACGTCATCAACAAGGCCACCGTCAAGGCCCTCTCCGGCGTCAGCGACGGCCAGACCTTCCTCGGCTGGCCCTGGCGCACGTTCGCCCGCGTCGTCGTCCAGAACTCCAACCTCGGCGCCGTCGTGAACGCTGCCGGCTGGTCCAAGTGGGGATCCAACCCGACCGACAACGTCGTCTACCAGGAGTACGCCAACACCGGCAAGGGTGCCAGCGGCACCCGCGCCAGCTTCTCCAAGAAGATCAGCGCCGCCGTAAAGATTGCCGATGTCCTCGGCTCCACCTCCTGGATCGACTCAAAGTACACGAGCGGAAGCGCTGCCAGCTCCGTCTCGGAGGAGTCGTCCGCCGCCGTCTCCGCCCCTGCCGTAGCCGCTGATGCCGCCGCTTCCACCCCCACGCCCACCACCCTCCAGACCGTCGTCAAGGCCTCTTCCACTCCCGTTCCCCAGGCCGCGGCCGATGACTGCAGCGGCACCCCCGACGGTTTCGCTTCCCTGAACGGCGGCACCACCGGTGGCAAGGGCGGCGAGGTCGTCACCGTCAAGACCCAGGCCGATCTCGAAAAGTACGCCGGCATGTCTGGCAAGTACGTCATCAAGGTCTCTGGCAAGATCACCATCACGCCCAAGGGCAAGGAGGTCAAGGTCTCGTCTGACAAGACCATTGTCGGTATCGGTGCGACTGCCGAGATCGACCAGGGCGGCTTCAACGTCCAGAACCAGAAGAACATCATCTTCCGCAACATCAAGATCGGTAAGTCTCATCTTCGAGGACTGGATCCTTTCGTGAAAGGATAAAGACTTACATGTAGTGTTAGGCAACACCTACGTAGAGGGTGATGACGAGGGCAAGACCCAGGACTTTGACGGCATCCAGATGGACAACTGCACCAACATCTGGATCGACCACGTCCACCTCGAAAAGGGCGGCGACGGCCTCATCGACAGCCGCAAGGATACCACCTTCCTCACCGTCTCCTGGACCATCCTCCGCAACCACAACAAGGCCTTTGGCATTGGTAAGTCCGCCCCTTGTATCCCATCCGCCATTCATAATTCCCGTAGCAGCACTCTCTAACTACCCCCTCCTTCCATCAGGCTGGACCGACAACGTCAACACGGAAATCACAATCCACCACAACTACTTCGACCAGACCAAACAACGCAACCCCTCCGTCGACAACGTCAAACACGCCCACCTCTACAATAACTACCTCGTCGGCCAGACCTCGTACGGCCACTACGCCCGCGGCAAGACCGAGATGCGCATGGAGAACTGCTACTTTGAAAAGGTCAAGAACCCGATCCAGCTCGACGCCACCGCAAAGCTCAGCGCCACGGGCAACGTCTTCAAGAGCACCACGGGCACCACGGCCAAGAACGCCGGTACTGTCTTTGACCCCAAGACCTTTTACGAGTATACCCTCGACGCGGCGGCTGATGTGCCAAGCGTTGTTGCAAAGGGGGCTGGGCGCCAGGCTAGCATCTGTGCTGCTTGAGTGGGGGTTTTGATGCCGAGGTTGATGACGGAAGGGTGTGATGTCAGGAGGTGGACAAGATCGTGGATGATGTCTAGCCCTCTGGTCATCTGGTTTCCGAATGCGTAATCAGTTAAAAGAAGAAGAGGAAGAGAGTGAGAAAGGGGGTTGGAAATTCTATGTATTTATTATGATGGCATGTTGCCGTTGACGAAGCATATACTCTCTAGATCTGTTCATATTGACTACGGACATACACAGTCGGATTCCACATCTCTGGTGATGTGACTGTTCGGTACACTTATATGTATCACATGAATGTGTGCCTTACCAACGAAATTGGGGAGTTGTGATACTGCCTTTTCGTCCCAGAATCATCATTTATTGTGCATTGGTCAGGAGGACAAGGGCATCGCTACAACAGCAAGAATCATGCCAGAGTCCCTTAAATATCTCTAGATCCCAAAGCATGTAGACCGTGATGAGCAAGTAATGCGGTAAATAAAAGGCTCTTCTACGTCCGGCTAATCAATTTCCATCGAAGTTCACCAAGTACCTTATTCTAGCAAAAGGCATGACGCACAAACGGGGCCATCCCGACGATACGGCAAAGTGAACGACTCTGAACTCAAAACCATTCTCAAAATACCTCCTATCCAAATTCGCCACCTCGAAAAACAAGCTTCTCGCTTCAAGCCGGGCCCGAAAAGGGGTTCACGGTTGGTCCAGCCATGCCAAAGGGTGGGATCAAGAGCACCTTTTGCCTAAGAACCAATCATCGAGGTCAGCCTGTCCGTTATAAGTAGGTGGTAGTTCACCGCAGAAAAAGGGTCTGGTGGCAAGCAATCCACGGCATTGTGCATACTGATCGTCGCGCCCTTGCAGATTCGGAAGGGAACACTAAACCACACCCCCCGGGAATTCTGATCTTCCACGGGATATCCGTACATGAAAGCACTGGACAAGCCCCCATTGGAATTCGTGTTTGACGACACCTCTTAGAGAATCATTGCAATGAGCATTCGGAGTATCGAAGTGTTGGTTGAGGTTTAGTCATGAATTCTGATCCTACACTACTGGAAGTCCATTTACGGCGCGGCATCTGCGGTTGACGGGTTTGAGGCGGTCGGTTTTATGTGGGGGAAGCATCGATCCTGCGGATTCCACTCCGACGACGCCCTATTACCGGATAACGTCCGAGTATCCGTACAGCTAAGCTACCTTACCTTAGT